GATGAGGTCTCAATATCTTGCTCATTAATCACTATTTCTACATCAAATGCTTAGAAGATATCAGGATCAAGAGAAGGGAAAGACAAGCCGCTGGCTGGGGGAGAAAATATTTGCAAAACACATGACTTGTATCCAAAATATACGAAGAACTCTTCCAACTCAACAGTAAGGAAACAAACAAGCAGATTTAAAAATAGGTCAAGGCCGGGCACTGTGGCTCACGCATGTAATCCCAGCACTCTGGGAGGCCGAGGCAGGTGGATCTCCTGAGCCCAGGAGTTTGAGACCAGCCTGGGCAACATAGCGAGACCCCATCTCTACAAAAAATACAAAAATTAGCTGGGCATGGTGGTATGTGCCTGTAGTCCCAACTACTCCAGAGGCTGAGGCATGAGGATCACTTGAGCCCCAGGAGGTTGAGACTGCAGTGAGCCAGGATTGTGCCACTGCACTCCAGCCTGGGCTACAGTGAGACACTGTCTCAAAAAAAAAAAATAAAAATAAATAAAATACAAATGAGCCAATGACCTTAACAGACACTTCACCGAAGAAGATACACAGATGGCAAATAAACATCTGAAGAGATGCTCCACTTCATACATCATCAGGGAAATGCAAATTGAAACAGCAACGAGACGCCACGATACACCTATCAGAGCTCCAAAATCCAGAACACTGACACCGCCAAATGCTGGCGAGGGTGTGGAGCAGCAGGAACTCTCGTTCGCCGCCGGCAAATAAAAGTGGCACAGCCGCCTTGGAAGAGAGTTTGGTGGTTTCTTCCAAAACGAGACGCGCTCTTACCATACGATCCAGCCATCGAGCTCAAATGAAGTAAAACCTTATCTACACACAAAAACCCACACGCGGATGTACACAGCAGCTTTATTCATAACTGCCAAAACTTGGAAGCAACCAAGATGTCCTTCAGCAGGTGAACGGATCAACAAACTGGCACATTCAGACAACAGAATATTATTCCGTCTAAAAAGGAATGAGCCACCAAGCCATGAGAAGACATGGAAGGGCCTTCAATGTATATGACTGAGTGGAAGAAGCCAATCTGGAAGCGCTACTGTATGCTGTATGATCACAACTATATGATAGTCTAGAAAAGGCAAAAACATGGATATAGTAAAAAAACAGACAAACCAAAAAAATGATCCGTGGTTGCCAGGGGTTTGGAGAAGTGGAGGGATACACAGGCAACAGAGACAGGATTCTGGGGTCGGTGACACTCCTCCGGAGGTGACTGTAATGGTGGGTCCATGTCATTCTACATCCATCCAGAACCACAGAATGTCCAACGGCAAGAGCGATCCCGAATGTAAACTATGAGCTTGCGGAGACAATGATGTCTCAATGTTGGCTCACGATTCTACCACACAGCCTGGGGGCACTGACGGAGGTGAGAAGGGATAGGTGGGGACACTTTGTATTCTTTGCTGGATTTCACTGTAAACCTGAAACTGCTTTTAAAATATACATAAATATATTTGTGAATACACACACACACACACACATATATATATCTGATACAGAGTCTTGCTCTGTTGCCCAGGCTTTAGTGCAGTGACGCAATCTCGGTTCACTGCAACCTCCGCCTCCCAGATTCAAGCGATTCTCCTGCCTCAGCCTCCCACGTAGCTGGGATTACAGGTGCGTGCCACCACGCCCAGCTAATTTTTGGAATTTTAGTAGACATGGGGTTTCACCATGTTGAGCAGGCTGGTCTCAAACTCCCGACCTCAGGTGATCCACCCACCTCGGCCTCCCAGAGTGCTGGGATTACAGGCATGAGCCACCTCGCCTGGCCCACACATATTTTTTTAAGGTAATCAGGGGATAGAAACTTCCTGAATGTGTTGCTCAAAAAGAGGGACAGAACCTCCAGACTGGCTGCTCTGGCCCCACTGGCTTCAGCTCTCTCTGAGAAACCTGACCCTGGCCACTGGGCAGTGGCACTTGAGGTCCAGGGCCTAGCACAGCACAGAACAGGCCTCTTGTGGCAAATGTGTGGAGCATTCCACCCGACCTCTTCCACGCAGGGCCTCGCTGGCCGGGGCGGGCCATCTGCCTCTGAAGATTTCCAGCAGCAGCTGGGCTGTCCCCGACCCCTGTCCTGGCCCACGGGACCTGCGGAGCCTCCCATCCCATGGGCACAGTGGGGAACCCTGTGTGCTGTTGGGGGGTCTTCCCTCCACACGGGCTCCTCTAAGCCCCAGTAAAGCTGAACCCAGATTTGAAACACACTGTCCTTTCACGTCCCCAGAGCTTCTGTGGGGAGCCCTGGGGGTTTCCGGCGTTCCTTTCCATTTTGCGAATGCCTACAGTTAATCACAGTTCCCTTTTCTGACCCGGGCTAGCACGTGACACACCTCCCGTGGCGCATCAGCCTTAATCACGCCCGCTGTGGAGCTCATTCTCAGACACTTCCTGCACCGCTTCCTCCAAACCCCAGGGCCCCACATTTCCTAACCCCCTCTCCTCTGGAACAGGCCAGGTCACTCATCCCAACCATCCCTCTCAAAAGTCCCTCTGTGCCTTGTCACACCCCTGCCTGAAGCTGGAACCTCACCGATGAACCCGCCCCCTCCCCCAGCTTCCCCCTTCTCCCTTACAGTCCTCAACTCAGGAACACAACGGAGCCACATCCGCTCTCCCGAATCCACCCTCAACTTTCTAACAAAGGAGGAAATGAAGCTGATGGTGCAGCAGGCAGGGTCGTGGAAACCTCCCAAGCACCCAGTCACTCTCTGGTAGGTAACCAAGCATAGCGCTGATGGCCCAAAATCAGGGTCAGGGGCTTCTCTCACCCTGGAGTGGCCAGAAGCACATGTTGCCAAGGCAAACGGGCTTGCAGAATTACCAGCAACTCTCAATTATTCAAGACCTCATTATTCAGTCTTCCTGGCTCCTCTACTTCCCAGGAGACCACACAGAAGCCGCTAACTCCTTCCCAATCCAGCCTGTCCCTCAATTCCTGCGCCTGAATCCAAGGAGGGTTTGTGGCCCTCTGTTTGCCAGGCACCCCAACCCTGAGAACCCAGGCAGGGCACCCAGCTCACCCCCAGCAAAAGCAGCATCAGCAGTGCCCGGCGTCCTGCTCCTCCTCCTGCCTCCGCGCCCGTTCTACTCAGCACAGGATGCTTCCCGCTACTGGAATTCTTGGTGCATTTGAATTAAACCAGGCTGGGCCTGAATTTTCTAGGCACACATCAATTCATACAGGCAAGGAGGAGAAGCACTGTGTACTCTGGAATTTGGGCCCCGTCCACTACTTTGGGTGTGTGTTCTTCCTATTCTGAGAGCGTAAACGGCACCTAAAAAAAGCTGTAATAGCCCAGAATATTCCGGTTCCTTGCCGTTCTATGAAAGACTTTCCTCTGGTTCCTTCTGGCCTCCACTCAAGTGTCCCCTCCTCAGAGGCCTCCCCTGGCTCTGATCGCCCTGTTCTATGTGCTCTGGGGCATGTCATCACAGCGCCACTTGTCTTATTCACTCCTTGTTCCACGAAAGCAAGCACCCCGTCCCCACTCTTTTCTTCCTAGGGTCGGAGCAGCACCTGGCCCATGGCAGGCGCACCACAGGCTGCGGGCTGAATTGTGAGGGGAGTGTCACTTGCGTCTATAATTGTTGCAAGCCATAAAGAGGAACCGAAATGATTTCTGGTGAGGGTGCTGATGACTGCATAGAAGAACAGCAGGGATGACAGAGAGAAGGGTGACAGCCACTAATCATGTCATTTGGAAGAGGTGACAAACACCGACTAATACAAGCCACAGTGGGTCGTCCAGTGTAAGGCTTGAGAGAAGAGTGGCCTCTCCACCAGGAGACCCACTGAAGGGGACAAGACCCTGCCCTCCTGGAACAGGATCACGGGTGGGAAGACACGCATCCCCTGGGGGCACAGGCATCCCTGGGAGAAAATGGCTGGGGAACCAAGCGTTCCCTGCACCGTACACAAAACCTGGGGAGCAGGTGCATGGGGGCACACACAGGCCTAGAGGCAAATCTGTCACATGTGTTCCCAAAGCACACACACCCCTAGGAATACAAGAGTCCCAGGGAAGAAATGAATGGGGGACCTGCATCCCGGGGTACACTAATCCCTGGAGGCACAGGAAGAGTTCCCAGGGATATGTCAGGCCCAGGTGGTTTAAGAAAACCGTACTGCATATCCACTAAGGGAGGGTTCCTTCCCGGGTACCCACCTGAGGCCGGCCTTTCTCCATCTGCCTTTCCACAGCAGCTCTTCACCTCCATTCTTTGTAAGCTCCCCGCACCTCTCACCAATCTGAAATCTCACTATGGGGCACGGTCCCAGGGGCAGAACCTCCCCACCCAAGCAGAAAATTCAAGAATGTATCTCCCAAGAGGCCCTGGGCAAGCGGTACACTTAAAGACATCAGACTATCCCCTGCAACTCTAATTCTTTAAAACGTACGAGGTTGCTAGTGTTTCGTGAGCACACGCCATAAAAACTTCAAAAAAAAATTTTTTTTTTAAATGCGATCTCTGCAACCCTTGCTCGCAGGCCTCCCAGGCCTCAGACTTGCAAGCCCCGAATCCCGCACCCTGCAGGGCGCCCGCGCAACAACCAGTAGCGGGTCCCACAGGCCGTGCCTGCCCAGCGTGCCCTGCACACGTGAGTGTCACTGCTCATGGAATGAACGGTCACCCCGCGGGCTGTCGATGCCGCTTGCCCAGGGAAGAGCTAAACACCCGGCGGCCGGAGCAGGCGCGGGCCCCGCACGGTGGCCCGAGGTCCCCGCCGCGCAGGCGCCCGCACGCGCGTTTGGCAGACTCCTGAGGCCACCGCGGCCCCACGCGCCAGGTCACGGCCGGTGCTTACGGGTCCTGGGTCAAAGACCTGGCCTATCCCGAAGGTCGCGCAGCCGCGGGGGCGGGAGGGGGCGGCCTCGTGGAGCGCTGGGGGCCCAGGGCGGGCGCGGCCCGGCAGGTCCCCAGGGGGTCGGCGGGCGCGGGAGCGCACTCACCCTCGCGCGCCCTCCGCTTCCTGGCCAGGGTGCCGCCCAGCTTGCCCAGGAACGACTCGTCCTTCTTCATCCTGCGGGGCCGCGGGGTGGGCGAGCGCGGCGCGGAGGACATGGGCCGCGCGTGGGGCCGGCGGCTGGCGCAGCGCGTGTGGAGCCGCCCGGTCGCCCCGGGGAGTGGCCGAGGGCGCGGCCCCACCCCACCGCCGGCCCCCGCCCCCGCCCCCGCCCCCGCCCCAGCCCCTGGCCTGGAGCGCGGCCCCGGCGGCCCGGATGCCCGAGGCCTGCTGGTCCCAGGCGGAGCCGTCCCCGTCCCGCGCCGCCGCTCACGCTCAGACAAGGGGTGTGGGGCCACCCCGGGAGCGGCGCAGCCTTTTCCCCACGCTTTGGAGCCCTGGGCTCTGCTCGGCTCCGCTAGTGGTGCCGGATCCAGGGGGCAGCGCGACAGACACCATTGCCACGTGGGTGCGGCCTCAGGACGTCCTGAAAGTCGGAGAGAATCAAGTCACACGAACGTGGCTGGTCTGTTGTAGAGCTTCTGCCAAGAGCCAGGCCCAGGGCAGGGGAAGCCCTTCTGAACTGGGAATTGTCCCTACCCACGGGGAGCTTAGAGGATGGAGGGCGATGCGGGGGACAGGTCATTGGCCTGACCTCCAAGGGGGGCTCCAGGAGTTGTTTCTGGAAGAGGCGACAGGGAGGCCCCAGGAAATGGCTTGCAGGCCGGTACCATGAGGTCAGCAGAAAAGCAGGCCCTGGGGACAGGGTGGGGTGCCAGGGACGGGGAGAGGAGGAGAGGCAGGCCTCGCAGGTGTTGGAAGCAGAGGAAAAGGCTTCATCCCGAGGGAGGCCAAGCAAGGCGGTTTTTTTTTTTTTTTTTTTTTTTTTTTTTTAAGACGGAGTCTTGCTCTGTTGCCCAGGCTAGAGTGCAGTGGCACAATCTCGGCTGGCTGCAACCTCCACCTCTTGGGTTCAAGCGATTCTCCTGTCTCAGCCTCCTGAGTAGCTGGGATTACAGGTGTAATCCCAATTTAGTAGATTACAGGTGTGAGCCACCATGCCCAGCCTAGATATCCAGGCAGGGCTTTGAGCTGTGATGTCACAGGTGTTGCCTCTGGCTGATGGCTGCTCAGCAGGTGCTGGAGATGGAGAAGGCACAGGCAGGGGGACGGTGACTTAGGAGAGAAGCAAACAGATTTCTGAGATGCTCACAGCCAGAAGCCCCAGTCTTTTTTTTTTTTTTTTTTTTTTTTTTTTGAGACGGAGTCTCGCTCTGTCGCCAGGCTGGAGTGCAGTGGCTGGATCTCAGCTCACTGCAGCTCCGCTCCCGGTTTACGCCATTCTCCTGCCTCAGCCTCCGAGTAGCTGGACTACAGGCGCCGCCACCTCGCCGGCTAGTTTTTGTATTTTAGTGGAGACGGGTTCACCATGTAGCAGGATGGTCTCGATCTCCTGACCTGTGATCCGCCATCCGCCCCAAAGTGCTGGATTACAGGCTGAGCCACCGCGCCCAGCCAGAAGCCCCAGTCTTGAAGAAGTATGAGGAGTAGGCCAGGTGCAGTGGCTCACACCTGTAATCCCAACATTTTGGGAGGCCAAAGCAGGCAGATCACCTGAGGTCAGGAGTTCAAGACCAGCCTGGCCAACATGGTGAAACCCCATCTCTACTAAAAATACAAAAATGAGCGGGGCATGGTGGTGGGCACCTCTAATCCCTGCTACTTGGGAGGCTGAGACACGAGGATCGCTTGAACCCAGGAGTCAGAGTTGGCAGTGGGCAGAGATCATGCCACTGCACTCCAGCCTGGGTGATTGAGCGAGACTCTGTCTCAAACAAAATAAAAAATGAAGTAGGAGAAGTGAAGGTTGGGTGTCCTGCCAGGCCGTGGTGGGTCACTCAGCAGAGACAGGTGCTAGCAGAGGGCGGTGCCTGGGGAGAAGAGGGCTCAGCTCTGGGTGTGTGGGTTGAGATGGTTTTTCTGTCTCCCTTTGTGCTGGCTGGCCCCCAGTGCCCCCAATGCAGTAAATGCTTCTGTTGGCCGAGTTGGTGCCAGGCTCAGTCCTCAGTCAGGGGCGTGAAGACCAAGGGCACAGAGCTTTGTCCTCCAGGAGTTTGTGGTCAAGGAGAACATGGTCACAGGACGCAGTGGCCATGTAGTGTGGCCAGCATGGGGGAGGGACAGGGACCGTGTGGATGGGGTGGGGGGAGAAATGCTGTGGGTGGGCAGAGGAAGCTTGCAGGGAAGGGATATTTGACCTGGAACAAGGATCAAATGCCCTTTTCCTTTCAATAAAGGAAGAAAAGACCCACTAGGCAGAAGAGACAGGGAGAGGACACTGCGGTGTCCTGGGGCTGCCGGCACAAAGTTCCACAAGCTGGAGGGCTCAGAACAACAGAAATGTCTTCTCTCACAGTTTGGAGAGAAATAACAAGGTTGTTGCGAATTATGAGCCAGGCACGTGGAGGAAAACCAATTGATAAATATCGTCATCTCACAGGGGTCTTTGCAGATGATCAAGTGAAGATGAATCACCAGAGTGGGCTGCAATCCAAGATGACCGTGTCCTTGTAATACCCCTGTGTACTGGGGATTAGGATTTCATCAGGAGGCCAGAAATCCAAATCAAGGTATAGGCCGCGTTCATTTCTGTTTGGAGTCTGCACGGGCAAATCTGTTCCCTGCGTCTCTCCGGGCTCCTGGGGTTTGCCAGCAAATCTTCCGTGTTCCTCGGCCTGTAGAAGCATTGCCCTGTCTCTGCCCCCATCTCTACTAGGCTGTGTGTGTGTGTGTGTGTGCGTGAGTCCAGACTTCACAAGGACACAGTCATGTTGGATTAGAGCCCATCCTGGTGATTCATCTCCACTTGATCATCTGCAGAGACCCTTGTGAGATGATGATATTTATATGTTGGTTTTTCCTCCACCGTGCCTGGCTCATAATTCCCATCACCCTGGTGATTTCCTCAGTGACTAAAACAATGAGCATATCTTTTGTTACAGTATTTGGCCTTTCTTCCTTGGTTCCTGAAGCAGTGTGGAAACAGCTTCAGAGCAATAAAGGGGAAAAACAGTCCTGTGTTACCATGCTGGGGCCTTGGAAGCAGGCTTCAGGTGCAGCTTCTCTCTCTCCTTTCTGACCTTCTTTCTCCTTCCCTCCTTTCACCTGCTCCTTTTTCTTCCCAAGGCAGGCCATAGAAAATGAAAATACAGGCCGGGCGCGGTGGCTCAAGCCTGTAATCCCAGCACTTTGGGAGGACGAGGCAGGTGGATCAAGAGGTCAGGAGATCGAGACCATCCTGGCTTAACACGGTGAAACCCCGTCTCTACTAAAAAATACAAGAAAAAATTAGCCGGGCATGATGGCGGGCGCCTGTAGTCCCAGCTACTCGGGAGGCCGAGGCAGGAGAATGGCATGAACCTGGGAGGAGGAGCTTGCAGTGAGCCGAGTTCACGCCACTGCACTCCAGCCTGGGCAACAGAGCGAGACTCCATCTCAAAAAAAAAATAAAAACTCGAATCTTCTGCCACCTTTCCATCTTGGAGCTGGCCACGGAGAAATTCTCTGAACTGCCTTGTCTGACTGAGGGTCACGAGACCCCCATTTCAGAAGGAGTCCTGCCCCCTGCCCAGGAGGAAGGGATGCTGTACAGACAGGCCTTGCGGGGCTTCACCACTCTAACTGATGGTATTGAATCATACTGTTTTTGTCCAATCACACTTCAACATGGTTGTCCAGCTTCTATCGTGCTTAGCCAATGAAGGCTCCATAAAAACCCAAAACGGCGGCTGGGCACGGTGGCTCACATTTATAATCCCAGCAGTTTGGGAGGCCAAGGTGGTTGGATCGCTTGAGGTCAGGAGTTCAAGGAGTTAGCCTGGCCCACATGGTGAAACCCGTCACTACTAAAATGACAAAAATTAGCCAGGTGTGGTGGTGCACGTCTGTAACCCCAGCTACTTGGGAGGCTGAGGCAGGAGAATTGCTTTAACCCAGGAGGTGGAGGTTGCAGTCAGCCGAGATCACGCCACTGCATTCTAGCCTGGTCGACAGAGCGAGACTCGGTCTCAAAAAGAAAAAAAAAATGGACAGAGTTGGAGAAGCTTCCAAATAGCTAAACACATGGAGGTTCCTGAGGGTGGTGCACCAAGGGAGGGCAAGGAAGCTCGATGCCCCTCCTCCATCCTTGCCCTGCAAGTCTTTTCCTCTGGTGTTCATCAGCAGACTTTGTAACACTCTTTGTAATCATCCAGGAAACGTCAATGTTGCCCTGAGTTCTGTGAGCCGCTCCAGCTAATCAAACCTGAGGTGCGTGAGAACCCCAGTCAGAAGCACAGGTAGAACAACCTGGGGCTTGTAACTGGCATCAGAAGCGGGGGCAGGTGGCTGGATACAATGGCTCGGGCCTGAGAGCCCAGCACTTTGGGAGGCTAAGGCCGGAGAATCACCTGAGGCTAAGAATTTGAGATCAGCCTGGGCAATATGGCAAGACCCCCTCGGTACAAAATAAAACATTAGCTGGGTGTGATGGCACGTGCCTGTGGTCCCAGCTACTCAGGAGGCTGAGGTAGGAGGATCACTTGAGCCCAGGAGGTCGAGGTTGCAGTGAGCCATGATCATGCCACTGTACTTCAGCCCAGGCAACAGAACCAGACCCTGCCTCAAAAAAAAAAAAAAAAAATGGGTGACAGTCTTGTGGGACGGAGCACTCACCCTGTGGGATCTTGTGCTGTCTGCAGATGGACAGTGCTGGAATTGAACTGGACTGGGGGACACCCAGCTGGCGCCGCTGCAGAACTGAGCTCCGACTTGCTGGCGGGGAGAAATCCCCAGCCTGTTCATCACAGGAGTCCTCTGTGTTGACTCTTGTGGTGTGAGAGAAGAGGAAAGGCAGTTTGATTTTTCCATACAACCCTGTCTCCAAATAATGTCCTGGTCACAGTACTGGGGATTAGGATTTCAGCATCTTTTGGGCGTGCTGTGCATTGGATATTTGACTCCCCCAAACCCCATACTGAAATTCAATCCTGTGTTGGAGGGAGGGCCTGGTTGGGGCTGTGTGGGTCCTGGGGAGGATCCCTCATAGATGGTTTTGTGCCATCCTCATAGTAATGAGTGAGTTTTCGCTCTGTTCGCTCCCTTGAGAGCTGGTCATCCCCCTCCTTTCTTGCTTCCTCTCTTGCCCTGTAATCTCTGCATGTGGCTCCACCACTCCTTCTGCCAGGAGAAGCAGCCTGTGGCCCTCACCAGTG